GCGGGCCGCGAGGGTACCTGTAGAAGGGCGGAGGGCCGGCCTCGCGCACCGCATAGCCGCTCGGCTCGTTCTCCAGGTAATAGTGCACCTGCTGGCCGTGGGGGTGCAGGAAGGGCGAGAGCTGCGGCGGCTGGTGCAGCAGCACCATCGGGGTCGGGGACACGCTGTTGAGCGGGGGGAAGCCCCCCAGCCCATTGGGGCCGAACGCCGCCGCCTCGGACCCGGAGCCGTAGGCGAGGCCCGCCTGGCCGTAGATCGGCGCGGAGGCGGCGGCCGCGGCGTTGAAGTCGTACGCGGCGCCCTCGGGGTAGTTGTACACCGCGGGCTTGCTGCTCTCCACGTACACCTCGCCCAGGGGCCGCTCCAGGGGGATCTTGAGCTGCGGGCGGCTCAGAGGCTCCAGCTCCGTCCCAGTGATCTGGTGCAGTAAGGCCATGCCCGACGCTTTGGTGTGGAGGGTCATGGTCATGGCCAGTGGCCTCCGGCAAGGCGCAAGCTGTCTCCCCGCGCAGCAGAGGGCTCAGCAGCAGACCGGCCACCTGGAAGACAAGCACAGCCGCGGTTAGAGGCGGCGCAGCGCAGGTCCCGCCGCCAGCGAGCTCTGGCCCGGCCAGGGGAGCCGGCCCGTCCGGTGGCCAGCGAGGGCAGTCGGGCGCGGGCGCGCGCCTCCAACTCCGGGCTTCCAGGTCTCCAACTTTAAGTACCGGGTCTCCGGAGTCGTATGCATTGCAAAGGTGCTGGACGGCCGCCAGAAACGGTTGCCTCGCACTGACTTTGGCTTAAACATCACTCCGGGCGGGCGCAACTTGTTTTGGAGTGATCCCAAAGAGCAGCTTCCCTGAACTTTACTTTACTTGTCGCTGCTGGGTGCAGGCAGGAGCTCATGCGGGAGGGCGGGAACGCAGAAGGGGCTCCTGAGGGCGGCCCAGGGACGAAAGGGTGTGAAACCCGCTCGGGAGACTAATCCAGGGGCCGGCTTTTCCTAGCGTGCTGCTCAGTGCCGGGTGCCAGACTCCAATCTATCTCTGTTTGTCTCTTTCTGTTTCATTCCCTCTCCTTGTTGGCTGGAAATGTGGCGTGTGTACATAGAGTGACCCTGGGGAGGACCACTCTGTAACAGACAGGGCAGATAGAAAGGGGCGTGAGGGCGCACGTGCCGGCGGCCACAGACAGCTATATTCGGCAGCTGCCCCGACTGCTGCTGCAGGCTTCTGAGGGAGGAGAGGGCGGAGATTCAAGGTGTACCCACTGCAAGAGCTGCCTTTTGCAACCAGGAGATGTTGCAGGAGCTCCGCTTTCTCGCCTGCAAAATTCTCACCAAGTGGCCCGTTCCCAAGGCACCTTCTGAGATCCTCGAATGCTCGCTGCGCGTCCATGTGGGACCCCAGCACCGCAATGCTCCGATTAGGGGCTCTCATGTTAACGATGAGTCACAAAAACCTCAGTTTGGGTGCACATGAGTGTTCATGCCTTCCACAGGTTATGCAACCAGAACTTTGGAAAACTGAATATAAAAGGTGACCTTTTCACGCTAAAGGTAATCTCAGGCCATAGCTAGATCTTGGGCCCTTTTGATACAGTGTTGGTCTAAACAACAAATTTTAAAGTGCAAGGATTCATTTCTGTTCTTTCATCCTACAAGTGGACCTTTTCAGGTCGTTTGGGTTAGGAGATATAGAACCAAATATCCAGATGAATAAAAGAGGTAGGAAGTAGAGAAAAGTTTTGAACTGAAATAAAAGTTAAGCATGTACACACACACTGTGCACGGTAAGCATATATACATAGTATATACAGAGTATGAGTATGCAGAGCGTGTATATATGTGTGTGTGTCCCTATACTATGTAGATATGTGTGTGTAGATACACATATCTACATACATGTACGTATAACTATATAGACACACAGATATGTTAAATATATCATGCACCTATAATCTGGAATAGTTTTTGACTGAAGTCTTGAATGCTTTTTAATAAACTTCCTTGCCTCAGCCTAACAGGCTTGTAGTATGACCATTTGATAGGACAATTAATATTTGCTTTAATTGCAATCTCAAACACCCAGCAGAATACCTGACAGTGTTTATGGCATGTATAAATGCCAGGGGTGCTATTAACAATAGTCATGTTTATTTTTAATTTTTTATGCTAACTAGTACACATTTTACCTATTTCCTACAAGCACAGAAAGACCATTTGGGGCAGTGCACAGATGTAGCTGATTTAATATAAAGCCAGAATTGATTTTAGTGGCAACAATTACAGACTGCAAGCAGAGAAAGGGTTAAAAACACATTAGGTGAATCACAGATATTTTTCTTTATGGCCAGCAACCATTACTTTCCCCAGCAATTTTTTACAGATGATTCTGTTTCTGTAAATCCCATTTTCCATTTTTAAATGTCTTTTTTAAACACAAGCCAAAGCACTTCATGAAAAGCTGAACCTGTCAAATTATACATAAATGACCTGAAGACTCCTGCAAGTCCTAAAAGAAAAGAGAAACACAGAACATAAAACCCATGGACAACAGCAAACCTCCTCTCCCTGCTAGATACAGACATTGGCCAGAAAGGGAAGTTGCTTTCTCAAAATGCTAAAGCTACAAAAAGAGAGATCAAAACAATCCTACCCTGCTGGATCAAGAGCGTCTTTCCAGAAATGTTCCATGGGCTTGTAGAAGTCGGGGCTGAGAGAGGGAGATGGAAGCTTTGGCTCACATGTGTGTGGCTCCGTGAGTGAGCCAGGCGGAGTGTGTGTGGATGTGTTTGTGTGTGGAATGGCAGGCACTCGGGAAGCAGCCAGTAGGCAGGGCCCTCAGCGGCCCCTCCCGCAGACACAGCTGCTGGGTTGCTGCATAGAGCTGGTTGAATGGCAGTGGGGAGTGAAGAGAAGCTTGCTGCTGCTCCTGGAGAGCAGTGTGACACAGCTGGAGTCAGCGTTATTGGGGAGAAGCAAAACTCCAGCCCCCTTTGCTACTTATCTCTGGAGCCCAGGAAGTACCCAGGCTTTCTGCTGCCATCCTAAAGCAAGAGAGAAAACAGGCTTGGTGTAAATCATAGCTAAAAAAGAATGCCAGTCAAAAGTATATGGGTATCAGGTTTACAGAATGTGACCTGGGTGGTTTTTCCTGAAGAATATAATTTAACAATAAAAACTTGCTGCGATATATAGACTTGGATCAAATGGATTGCTGGCCCCAGCCTCCTGTCTCCAAACACACACCACTGCCCTGCCTCTGATTGCACCAGGAAACCAGACTTGGGAAAAAGTGTTTTGGCATTCTGAGGATGTGTTTCCAGCTGAAATGTAATACTTTTCTACCTCGTTAACCAAAGCCACAAACCTTTTCGCTCAGCTCACCGTTTTCTGTAAACATATAAATATATATTTATCAGCTATAAACCGTAATATATATTACAAGTATATATTAAAAGCCCAAGTATGAAGATATGATAATTTCATGCATTCTGGTTAGACAAGCATTGATCATGGGGGCAAGGGTGGGAAGGAAGAAGGGGCAAAGTCTGTCATTACCAGATCATCTCCATCACCTGATCCTTAACTTTTCTCTTGACCAGGAAATTAACATAATTACATGGTGCTCCCACTATGCCCTCACGCAGGGTTCCAGGACACATGATGCCTTTGACGCCATTGTTGGCAGACATTAGTCATTATCTTAAGTACTAGATCCACCAAAATGTGAGGACAACTGGACTCTTTGGTAATATAAAAGTTAACAAAGTATTAATGATATCATATTACATATATATATATATATGCCCATATCATATATATATGTATATGTTATTTCGAGAGTCCACAAATTTGAAGATATTGGAACATATAAGAGTCGCTTCCACCCAGTGGAGTATGATGGAGGATTATGGGTGCATTGGTAGCATTGGTAGTAACTGTAGTATGGTGACATAGAGCTCCCGAGGTATGGCCCATAGCCCTAAATCATAAATCTAATACAATTTTTGAAAGTCTGAAACAAAATGTTCAAAAGACAAATCCACAATCAGCAAAAGACAAATATTGAAAGGCAAGACCGGTACCCTTTGTTAGTGACAGTGGTGCAACTTATGTTTCACCATGTTAAGTCAGTGTCCTCCCAGGTTCTCTGCCAGTCTAAAAGAAAATAAGAATATGTGAGGATGTGAGGGGTGGGGAGGAGGCCGAAGATATAAGGAAGGTAGGAGGAAGAAAGAAGGGAAAACAGAATCTGCAAATATTCTCCTTGAATGCAACAGGATAAGAAGTCTAGCTATCTCTTCATACACTTAGATAATTCTTAGATGCATGCATTTAGTCTAGGATATCCCGATATCCACAATAGACCATTTTCTTGAGCAGTTTCTATGACATCCTCTTTCCTCTTCTTGCTAAGAGTCATTGCCTGGACTGAGTGCTAGTGGATGGGAAAGCATACTTCCAGTTTTCTTCTAGTGCTCCTCACAAACAACTTCCTACTTCACTTCTAAGTCAGCTCTTTCCTTGTCCTTCCCTGCTCTCATGCTGCACACGTTATTCCCTGCATACACAGATGAAGAAGGCTCAAGTCTATTTCTCCAGATCAACTTTTCTGGGCATTGCTGACTCATTCAAAAAATGAGTCATCAAGATGACTAGATGATGAAAATGTGGTATATATATAAAATGGAATACTACTCTGCTGTGAAAAGTATGAGATCCTGTTCCACATAGATGAATCTATAGGACTTCATGCATAGTAAATTAAGTCATAAGGAGAAAGACAAACACCAATCACTCATGTGTTGCATTAAAAAAACAAAGCAAAAGAATGAACTAGAAACAAAAATAATCTTTTAAACTCTAAGACCAAATTAGTGGTTACAATAAGGGAGAGGGATAAAAGGTAGGTAAATAGGGAAAAGAGGGTCAAAAATATGGTGAATGATAGAATTGGATCCTTAATGGTGAACATAACATAGCTTATACAGCTACTGATGTGTAATCATGCACAACTGAAACTTAAATATTATGATACAATATTATTTCAAATAACCCCAAAAATTAATTCAGCATTCTGAAACAGGGTGTTTCTCTCATCTCTCTGGTCTGTGAACAATATCACTGTCCTTCTGGTCACCCAGATTAAGCATCACAGTCTTTTTGAGGTCTTTTCCCTTCCACCCATATAGTTGATCTTCTGGCTTTCAAACTGTCCCTTCTCGTTTCTCTTTCAGTCCCTCATTGCCCACCTGACGTACCCCCTAGGTATCTCTTTGCCAATTCTGCCCTCCCTGACCCCCTGCCACTTTTCCCTAGATGTTGCTGCCTTTGGGTCCCCTGGGTTTAGTGAGTCAGGATAAATCTTCTCAGTACAAGCATCCTTTGCCCAGGACATAGCTCCCTCATGAGTGCCGGCCTGGGTCTCTCGTAATGATCCTTTCTGGTGTAGCCTCCTACAGGTGTCTCCTGTGCACAGAGAGCTTTCTTGCTGGCATTCTCTCCTCCAGGGCCCACGTTGCTGGCCTCTCCAGAGAAAGCCTACCCTGTATTAACTTCCAATCCAAATGCTACTGCATCCATAATCCCTCCTTTACCCTATTCAAAGAAAATGTCCTCTCCTCTGAATGCTGGTGGAGTTTCCCCTTCATTCTTCTTGCTTGCAGTGATTTACATGTATTTTTATCCCCTCGTCATTCCTAGAAGCTACTAGAGGATGGGATGTGCATATTATTATTTGAGAATTTCCTGAGCACTAATCACTGGATCAGGTCATAGTGAGACATCAAATATTGGCTAATTTGTTACTCCAGGTGCTTGAAAGACATATTAATATTACATCTATCTAGACAGCCATCTCAAAAAAACTCACTTGCCATATAATATTTTCCCATCTTCAAAATGTTTTTTGCTAGAAGATTAGCTTTTTAATCTCCCCACTGAGGGAGGCCAGAAAGCCAAAATTCAAACTCAGGCAATCTTGAGGATTTAGGCTGATTCTCTTGGCTGCGTGATCCATAGGAACACTCTGGATTTTCGGTTGGTAACCAGATAAGGCGATGCCCAAACAGCACTTCTTCTTGAGCTCCATTAGAAGCTTTCTACATCTACAAAAACATATGTTCTTCAAACATGAAAGAAAACAAGTATTTTTTTTGTGAAAATTTCCAAAATAGCTTCTACTACTAGAAATTATTCCTTCAGCCTGAGACATGCGGTTTAGTTATGTTCAAACTGATCATGATTTTAATTTTGTTTGCTGTTTGTAGCTTGTCTCTGAGCATTTAGTTGACACCATCCACTTTCCTCTAAAATGGAAGCAAAATGAAGAATTTCCTTTTAAGTGTCTGTTCATTTTAAAAATAGTTCAGTCTCTTTATTTCAAAGGCTTTCCTTAGCTCCTAGACAAAAGTCTAGGACTTTTTGGTTTCAGGAGGTAAAACTTTTATGTATTGCGGGGCCCTCCCTGGTGGTGCAGCGGGTTAAAGCACAGCCCTGAGAAGCTAAAGCCACTTCAGCATGAGTTAGATCCCCACCCTGGAGGTGACCCACATGGCACAGCCGACCACTCCTGACCCGCCTGCTGCTCCCCTCAGCAGTGTACTTCATCAGTCTGCCTGGCCTACTCCCCACTCTGTCTCTGGTGAATCCTCTCACCGCCCCTGTACCTCTGGCCTGTACCCCAGTTCTGTATGCATAAATAAATAAATTAAAAAAAAAACTTATGCATTGAACAACATCTCTCACAGGTCACAGTGTGGTGGATTAGGGTAAAAGGTTGTGCCCAGGTAATAAGTATCAGTGTGAGATCCACGTCACCTCAGAAAGCATGCCCACGTGAGTGAATTTCTAGTCCCTACAGGCAACCACTGTGCTGATTTCTGTCACCACAGGTTCATTTTGCCTCCTGGCCTGGAATGTGGCCCCTGAGGCCTTACTAACTGGAACACACAGACCCACCCAGCTCCCATCAAACCCATAGCAGCACCAGGCAGGTGCCAGGGAAGGTACTTTGCCAGGGGATCAAGGTACAGAGCTATCTTTCTCTCATTCAGACCCCTTCTCAGGGCCAAAGAATTTTATCAATATTCTTCATGAAGTCTTATAGCTCTCACACGCTTTACATGACCAATGTTGCTCTGGCCTACAAAGATACAAGTTAAGGAGAAGCCAACTGAAATCTAAACTTCTAAACTCTTTAACACCTTTTTTCTCACTATTTCTCAAAAAAAAAAGAAAAAGAAAAAGAAGTACAGTTATTAAACCAAAAATCAAGTCCAAGATCCTTCCTTTGCCAAATCCCTGAGCTCAGATACCATTTCTTGTCTTCTGAACTAGAACTTGATGTAGATCCTTTGGATTTTAGGTTGCCAGGCAAAAGGTTTACTCTTTCTTGCAAATTAATGAATGATTGCGATTTAATTCACCAGTTTCATAAAGCTTAGCAACTTTCTTATATTTTCCAGTGAATTTTATTGTTAAAAACATTTTAGAATATTTTCATGTGATTGACTTATATTACAAGTAGCAGGAGACAACTTAGAATGTACTTTAACTATAAATGCCGTAAGTGATAAAAAGAATTCCAGTTGCTCTTATTATTGTTGCACTGTGTCCCTGTCCCTCCTTCGATCTGTTGTTTACTTGAGGAATCTCACTGCCAGCTTAGGGTGTTATTTCTCTATGCATGGCAACACCTAGATTGTGCCTACATGCATGTTTATTCAAACAGCCCAATTCAATGTTAAAGAGGCCTTTAC